ATATTTTATCAAAAGATTTTTAAATATAATAATTATTTTCTTTTTGATAATATTACGATTTTCATCATAATCATTCTTTTAATTAAGGGATCGCTGCTGCGTCATTACGTTTATTAGATTGATTGTAAATTATTCGAAAGTCGTCCTTTTGATGGGAATCAAGGTTTGATCAGTTCCCACAGTAAACTATCACTACCCTCCGTAATCGCCATTTTCATCATCCCCAATCCATCTATTTCATTGACAAGTGGTCATATTCGGTCGATAGTAATACAGTTGCAACTCGTTATGTATTCACATTCGCTTACGGACTTACTACGTAATCGTGTATATTCGATCTTGAAACAAGAGAAAGGCTAGGAATGCAAACATCACAACTTACGTATAATAATTTTAATTACATAAAAATAAAATAAATAAATAAATTTTTTTTTATAAAATTAATTTATAATAAAATATATTTATTTCTTCTTAGGATTTCTTTATTAAAGATAAATGAAGCTTCTAGAACAATAAAATCATTTCTTATCTATTTTGTAGATATTCCTGTTAAGAATTTTATTAATAATTTATTAATCGACTACAGATTTTTTAAAAAGTTTTGGGCACACATGGTGACCCTGTGTGTGCGTACACATACAGTCTTGATTTGATAGGCACGCGTGTCGTTGCACGTGTGAGCGGAGCTTCCGGCGAGTACACGCTTCTTAAAAGCCTGCTGTACGCGTGGCCGCGTATGGGGGTCCCGCGGGTTCCCACGGCGGATATGCACTCGGTGATACGTATGTACACCCATAGGGAACGGGCTTAACCGAACCATTCGGTCACATGCCATGGGGTTGCCGACCCAACACCGGATCGTTCTTCACGCCCTCGTGCACGCACGACACACGCCGCCGCCGCCGCCGCCGACTCGTCCCCGTTGACTTATTTCAAACGCAGGTAGTCGAACGAAGGATGTCGCTGATATACGTATAAAATGTACGCACGTATCTAACGTTGTATTACTTGTCCGTGGAAAGAAAATTTTTGCTGGCAAATCTAAAAATTTGACCAGATACAAAGTGAAAATAATTTCGTTAGGCCTTAAAATTATATACAATGTTCCAATTGGTTGCTCAAAAATTTTTGCAGTATTATTATTATTGTGTTAAGCATTCTACGTAATAATTTTAATGGTCCAACAAAATTATTTTCAGATCCATATCTGGCTAAATTTCGTTAGAGTGTTAGCAAAATTGTTTTCTCTATGTAAGAGACGAAAAACGAAAACAAATCGTTAGTCATTTATTTTAGCAGGATGAATTAATTTAAGTGAGATATTGATAAAGACATTAAGAAAACAATTACAGAGTACTGGGAATTAATGTTATTCATTAAGAATACATCAAGAAAATGTGGACGTGCTTACGTGGGAATATTTTTTCATGAATTATGTGAATTATAATTTACATTTATAATTTTCATTGTATTGTAGAATAAATTCATACGATACATTTTTTTGTGGTATGTTCATATTCCTTAAAGCAATGAGGCGGTGCCGTACTTGCGGATTGTCGGCAAGAACCTTCAAACTTTTTCTTACAGTATTATCCACGCACGATCGGATTCCGCGGTTAGGATAAAATCGAGACATTCATATCATATTTAATAATATCCATCCATGTGCAACAGGAAGCAATCGCGCGAAAAGAAAGTAATTTGATCAATTTCGCACATCCGCTTGCTACGATTCTCTTATGGCTGGATTTATTATTTTTACGATAGTTAAATGGCACGATGGTTAAATGGTTCAAAATTTATTAAGTTTTTCTGGTTAATTTTATCATTTTCACGATTTGTTTCTAAATTTAATAATTGTTAAAAAAGTAATTCTTATAATCGAATTATTTAATTGTCTAAAATTATGGCAGAGTGATTTATTGCGAGATAAAGTATTTTTAAACAATCGTTTAAATCCTTCAGATTCATTGAGAGGATTCATTAATATCTATTGACATATTCGAATGTATTATTAATGATGCGAACTTTTGTGGCATTACTCTTAATAGAAATCATATATTCCAATATGGATTTGTTTCGTCAATCGATATGGAGAGCGATTTATCACTCGATTCATTAAATATTCAAGTCGATTGCTTATGTGCTGTATGACTCATCATTGTGAAAAGAGAACATATTTAATTATTTTTTTGATCGGCAAGTGTAACTGCCAGTTCTCCGGATTGCACATATTTTCGAGATATATTTGATGAAGATGCCATTTTCATTTTACAAGATAAATTAAAAACTTAAATATCAGTCCGCTCGACATGAATCATTTTAATACAATTTATTTTTAAATACAATGTAATTTTTTCATGCACTTTCAGACATTCTTAAAGTCAAGTTTTTTTCAAAATGTGTTCATATACATATGTTTTCATTTAATGAACTTGTTTTACATTTACTTGAACATAATTGAGAAAGTTCATTTTCATATCATTAATTTATGCTCCCGTAATTATTTGCCTTTTCAAAGAATTACGCTATTCCGCTGCATTTTTCTCATTATAAGATGCAAAACTAAGGGCCGTGTACCTGCATATTCATACACGATCATTCCTTTGTTGTGTAAAACAAATCGCACAAAGCCACACGTTCTACCTTTTACCTGCCCAGAAAAAAATAAGAGTAATTTCACACCTTTGTTCTCTTCTTTCGGTCCGTTTCTCTGCTATTTCACATATTGCTTGGCCGCAGGCTGATACTAATATATATGCAGATTACGATTCTATTTTATAAAGAACTTCTACTTCATAAGGAAGTTAGAACATTACAATATGATAATGAGCACAATTTTATATCGATTTGTTTATTTTTTTACAAAATTAAACAAATTTATTTTATTTTCTTTTTTGTACTAGATTATCAATATCGTATGTAAATATATGTAGCTTTATACGATAAATTCCGCTTCCGAATAAAAAAATATCATATCGTTTGCGGTAATATTTTCGGTAATATATGGATTTAGAGTCCGATTCTGCCGGAAAGGTCAAAGTTATCCTGCCGAAGGTATCGTAACGTTATCCCAGATTTCTCTCTGCCGCGGCTAGGAAGTATTTCTTGTCGGTCGTATTGTCGCGACTCTTTAGATCGCGGCTCGCTCGATTGTACAAGGGTGGAACGCACCGGACGCCAGTCGCACCGGTGCAAACACCGTTCCAGCTCACGCAGGAGATACGATCTCGCGCATATAGGAACAGCCAACATCCTCGGCCTCGGTCCGGCTCCCTCCAGGCGTAAGCCGGCTACGCCATTAAGCTGGAATTCAGGTGTATTAATGATCCCGGACCGCGGCACGGCAGGTACGTAGCGACCACCCGTGGCCACCCGGTAGCACACTAATGGCAACGCCACGGCGTTCGTTAGGGAGAGATTTTATTTCGCCTATCTTACGCGCTCGCGCTCCGAGTCTACACGACGTTTACCGTCGGCCGCGGCACAGGGCGACTCGTATCCGATGGGAAAGGGTGTTGCGGGACGCGATTGTGTACGATTGCGTCGTACTCACGGGGATGCTGCTTACTCTGATTGCTGCAACGTCGACGAGGTCGACCGAAAGCCTTTCGCCGTACCTCGGTATTTTACAAAATGATATTATTGCCCCGATATTATTGCCACTTCGTTAAGTTATCAACGTGCTTTTTTTGATCCAAATGTATTCGAAATGGATAAGGATGCTGATTCGAGTGTTGTATCTCACAATCAACCGATGAATGAGATATCATTGCCACGTTCGTGCTTGCTTGCGTTTTAAGAAATATCCTATAGTTATAGTGATATATTTTTAATTTATTATATTAATTTCTTGAAGTAAATTGGAGACTGTACAATATCTTGAATATGAAAAGAACAATTTTGCTGGCGTATCTAAAAATTTCAAATACTGAAATAACTTTGTTAGTTAAAAAATTAGTCATGTAGAATATTTAAGCATAATGATAATATTGCAAAAATTTTTGATATTCTAGTAATCAAAAAATTTGAATGTTTTACATATTATTCCGATATATCACCCGATAAAATTATTTTTAGATCTGTATCTGGTTAAATTTTTAAATATTTTAGCAAAATTATTCTTTTGATGTGGCGTGACTTCATTCTTTTGTGTATTTCGTATGAAACAAATTGCACTGAAGTGAAAATGCAACGATGCGACTAATCTCGCGAATATATAAGCATAGCAAGCTGCATTGAGTCTTTGTGTTTTCTTATTTAAATACGAAATATTCGAATGCTAAGCGACATTATCATTATCGAAAAATTCCAGTAAAGATTTCGCAAATGTTACTCATAAATAAATAAATATCCATGTATTCATTAAATTATTAATTTCTTTTTTATAAAGAATTTTTATCATAACAATAATCCTTATTAATAAGTAAAATATAGGTGTGTGGGATGTGTGTATGGAATACACGCGGTAAACACATGCTCTGTGGAATTCGCGACGCGGCTCATCTCTACGATCCTCGAAATTAGGGACCAGTAGCATTGTTCGTCGCGCACGACTCGAGTTCGCTTCTCGCTCCTGATCGTTACGAATCTTTTAGAATTCGATAACGTTCTCCGTTCCGTCTTTCATATTCTCGTATCCGGAGAATTCGTTATCGCTGCCGCATTTGCTGTGAGAAGTGGAGTGACCTCGTGTGAAGTGTACACGAAGGCCGATCAACATCACAATTTGAAGTGAACTATCAAATATCTTCATAAGAAGATTACCGTTGTGTCGTGCGCGAATCGCATTGTACTTCAATAGCCGAAACTAGTGTTAGCTCTTCTCGACTTTTATTATATGCGTGGTAAACCATATTTTTATAATTAATAACGGAATTGATTGATACACGACCGCTCTTCTCGCCTTGGTGCACGGATCACGTAAGGTGGAACTAGCCATCCGCGAACAAGGAATTACGAGATTTCTATTATATTCGTATTTTTATTGCATGTTTCAGATGGTTTTGTCATTTTGACGACGATAATTACGTGAACGTGCCACGGCTACTAAAGCTTCTGGACAATTACAATCCTCGTGAGGATTGGTATCTCGGCAAACCCTCGATACCTGCGCCCTTGGAGATCATCAGGCAAGGTCCAGAGCCGCAAAAGCGACCGGTAAATACAAAATTAATTATGCTTTTTTTCATACGTTCTATCAGTTTTGCAATTTCGTTCGCTTATGAATTTGTTTAAATATTTGTTTAAAGATGGCAAGTAAATGTATAGTAAATCGCATATATTAGATTAATCATAAAAATAATTGATTTATATAGTCACTTGGATTTAATAGAATTATTCAAATTTGAAGAGTGAAATGGATGAACGGTGAAAAGATGAAAATTTACATCTTCATTATATAACACATTTTTATTTTCTTTAATACTTTCTCAAGATATTTTATTTTTAATATTTAAACACAGATAAGATTATCGCTATATAGTAATTATTAATGTAACATAGATATTCCTACATAGATATTCCTTCTTATTAATATTAATGTACATAGATATTCCTTCTTATTAATATTAATATTTAAATTTGAGATTAAGATGATTTATTCATCCAATTATGCAGCTTCTGTATTTCGATGGACCACCTGAGTCGACCCAAGATTTACTTACAGTATCGATTGTGTAAACCGTAATTACACTTCTCCGAAAGTCAACTTATTACGCCCGGCCTTCGCGGTCGGTCAACCAAAGAAAGCTGTCTCCCGGGATTTATTTAACGTCGTAATAGTTCAACAGTAGCAATTTGAACTAATGACAATAACGAACGCTATACAGACGCGCTTTGTCGTTCGGCACGCGGAGATGCCGCTCGTGAAATTCGCCTTTGAAGGCTTCCGGTGGGTCTCGCGATGAAATTAAACGCGCCAGAGGAAGAAAAAGCCAAGAGGCTTTCAGAAGGAAAAAGGAAAGCTTGAAGAAGCGAGGACTGGGGGATAAAAAGGAGGGGAGATCATTCGCGAGATTTTCTTTCTTTTCCCTTTCTCGTTTTCTCTCCTCTCCTCGCGGCCTTTTACGCGAGAAGAGCGTTACCACGCCGTGCCGTCACTAACGGGTGGTCTTATCGAATTTATGCATCCGCGAGGCGGCGGCTTCCGGCAAAGTCGAGCGTGCATACGTCTTGGCAAGTGCGGATTTAGAGTGAAATAGGGATCGCTCCGCTTTTGTGAGCAGTTCGTTCGACGTTGAAGGCGAGGAATATCGCACGAAGAAAATGCACGATAGCACGTCTATTCTTTTTAATGCTCCCCCGGCGGCGGTCTCTCCTGTGCCGCGGGTTTCACGCTATTATCTCGCACCTCGTGCATATATATCTTTCTTATCCCGTGCGAATGCATGATAAGTTTTTATAGGTAGGTCTCGGTCCCGAGCTTTGCGCCCGTGAAATTCCGATTTTCCTCCGCGGGAGATCCAGTCGTTGCGGCCGCGCGCGGTTCACTATCTCCTCGGATATTCAATCTACGATATTTTTTTGCACAGCCCGAATGTGCGTATATCCGCAAAATTGCTCCTGGAGTTTCGGCATACTGCATCTGAGACGAGATTTTTCATAGTATTCTTCTATCGTGAGTTTATAACTCGAAAAGAAACGGAAATGTCGCAAACTTATAAAATATTATGCCTAATAATAAAGAAAATGCTGCCATAGTTGAAAAATATAATAAAACATATCGAAGGGGAGAGTACTTTAAATAATATTTCCTTTTACAATATTTTTTGTTGTATATATTTTAATTCTACGATTATTATTTTTAGATTACAGCAATCGTGTCTTCTTAAATACCAATATTTAGTGCAATTCTAATTTTTGCAAATTTATTTGGAAATTCCTAGGAATTCTAAATTATGTATCTATGGATCGTTTTATAAAATAATATAGTCTTGATAAATTGTTGAATTGCAAATAATATTTTTAGTCTTGAGATTATGAATTTCAAATCAAGGGTATTCTTAGGAGGGAGCGAAGTATGTAGTGAGAGTGTCTTTTCAAGGCACTCAGCAAGCGAAGAAACTCGCCCATGCACAATCACGAATCGATAAAAGCCCATCTCACGTACTGCTTTAACAGATACACGATGCGATTCGGATGTCACTGATATGATCGCCGACGCTCGGCAGCCGACGGTTAAAGGAAGCCCGCGATCTTATCACGACGCGGTGTCATGCTATGAGGCCATTAATCCTTTTTCTTCTGTCGAGACGAGAAATGAAAAAGGAGAGCTTTTGCCATTGACGTCGCTCACGGTGGAGAGGACGGGCCGATATGCTCCGGAAAAAAATTCCAGGACACGTGCGTGTCACTCGCTTTAGAAAATGGATATAATCCGCCTGTGCGGAAATTTAAAATATACTCCTCTTTCTCTTTTTTGCTCCGCTTTCGTGATGTACGCGCATTGAATTAATTTTTGACCTATCGATTGTTTTTTCTGCGGCCGCGTAATTTGCATTCCGCGGCCGAAAGTTGGACAAGGTACGAATTGGAAAAGCTGCTTCTTCTCGTTGCTTCTTCCTTTCAACGTCGGGAGAAAAAGGTACGAGGTTGCCGGGAGAAAATAGATAAAGACGAGTGGAATTCGTGGTGCTCTCGAGATGAAACGATAAATCTTGCAAAGCCCGTAGGATTCGTTCTTCCTTCTGAGATTAACCGCTTCTTATAAGGTCCGATCGAAGCCATTCATCAAGCGCCTTTCTTGATATCTCTTTCCTCTTTCCTGATTTCTCTCCGCCGCTCGTTAAAGTCTAATCATAGTACGGATTCCGATTCTTTCCTTCTTCTGCTATCCTTCTTCTGCCGTGAACTTCGCGCGATCTATGATCGCTAATAATCGATCGGACCTTTCACTACCGAACGGACTACCGCGCTCATAGAGATTGAGCAGGAAAAGGAAACGAGCATGATTTAGATCTCTGATTTATTGAATAGTGTACTTATTTAGAAACGCACTATATTACGATTTATTTAAAGATTTTTTTATTCAGTTTTACAAACACTGAGAGCATAGTAGATTTACTTGCAATTTAATAACGTATTCTTTGAAAAAAATGTTAAATTATTTTTTTCTTTTAAAAGGAATTTCGAGAAAATGAAGTTTCTTGAATTTTTTTTATATCTAACATTAAATATTTTAATATAATCTTTTAATATAAACTGATATTAAATATTTTAATAAAAATCTCGAATTAAAATTCTATAATAACAAAATTTTTATTCAAATGATTAATTCTGGAATCACTAGTGTGCGGGCATTACAATTTGTTTTTGAGAAAATCAATTTTAGAAATTGATCAAAGAAGTTAGTTTTATTAAAGATTTGTATTGACAAAATATATAAGTATCATGACGATGTAAATTAAAAAACTTTGGTTGGTTCCTTCTCACGTTGATAATAAAATCAACGTAAAAAACACCGCGAGAATTTGTGATCTATGATTTATAAGAAAAACGTTTGACGTACAGATTTAATGTGAGCGTTCGCGGAAAGCCTCTTACACGCTTATCCGACCGTCGGAACCATTTTTCACGCCATTATTTCACATAGGGCTGTCGTGAGATCCGGTCCGACAACTACCTTGGGGCCGACGCCAGTCATACAACGAACTCGTTACCGGCCGGCGAAAGATACACGAAACTCGATTGATCGTGGTATATGTGCGTGTTGGCGTATCGATCGTTACGTGGTAACCCATTTAAGATGATGTGGTGTTCATGCGGAATTTAAATTGGTCGATACCTTCTGACACACTCCCCTGATAGCACTTAATCCATTAAGTAAACGAACAAGAACAACATCGAACGCAAAATTGTCTCAGAAGTGCCATTAAGCGTCGAAAAAAAGAGAATTTGAAATTGTAAAATGTAAGTCGTCGTTTTCAACAAAGTTTTGAGATAATTTACGATTGAATAAATTATTTTAATTTTATTTGCTATACGCATGATAAAATAGAGTAAACCACAGTTAACGATTTTTATCTGCGTTGTATAAGAGAAATGTGGCTCTCGTAAAATCGCCTGTTCCGCTTTAATCTGATTATGTAAAATAAATCTCAGCATGCGTACGTTATACAGGATTTACGTAAGGTGATAGACCCGAGACCAGTGCTCCGATCATTTTATTCCAGTTTTATTATTACGCTGCGCTATTTGGCACAGTGTGTTCTGCACGGTGAATGGACATTGTTCGATCCGTGCGGTACGTATAAAAGAATCCTGACTCGATCTCGGACGTTTTTCTGCCCTCTACGTGGTCCTCTTTCTTTGCAGTTCTCTTCATTCAGTCTTCTTACGATCTGGTCGGACCAGTATCGTGTGCACGAAACCTCTTGAAAGTCGATCGACCGCGGTTTCTGTGAGCACAAGTATCGATAACACGCATGCCCAACCCGTTTAAACTTTTTTTTTCTTTTTTATTTTTTTGCCCTGTACGAAAATCATTTTTATGCGAATGCTGGTTCGTCGTCGTGATATGAATTAAAATAAAAATTGTACTCGGCTACTTCCTCCCCATACCGGACACGAATCTGCTCCGCCCTTTAATTAAGCGAAGAAACTTTGCTTCTTTATCTTTATTCATTTCATAAAAAAAGATAATTTGCCAGCAAGAAGAAAGTTGCCAGACTGCTCGATTGAAAGATGCTTGTTACTTAAAATTGTAAAATCGCCTGCTTAATATCTGCCAACATTGATTATTCATTTTTGCATTGAGTAACTTGATATGGAAGATATAAAATTTGGATAATTTTTTTTGCAATGTAAAGCAATTGTTTCGAATTTATAGATATAAATTCACCAATAAAAGGATTACTAGATTTCTAAGATCCGATTCGACCGAGTCCTCTCTGATTCGTTCTTTGAAACTTGTCACGCGGCTTGTTACATTTTTGTTAATTCTTGTTTTTTTTTTTTTATTCTCGTTTATATTTTTCGCGCGATGAGTAACGCGCGTAAGAATGTCTGGGCTTTTGGTCGGCCTTGAATTTCGTCACGTTGCACGCTTTCCTTCGCGCATGCAGATGCGCTCCGCTCGCCCCCTTATCTCGGGCGCGAATCGCGATTCATGGCGCGACGGATCCATAGTAGAACTTCCACTCGTATGTACCTACGGTGTA